CCCCCTGCCCCGCAGTTACCATGGCCGCTACCGTAGCCAGGACTTACGGGGCTGCCGGGGACTGGGGGCCTGGTGCTGGTCATACTGTCCATTTTTGGGGGGGTATATGCCAATACTCGCCACGCTTGGCAGACGGGTTGGCGAGCGCAGTTGGATGGTTGAACCGCGAATGAACGCTGCTGCCCGTTCATCGGTTTTTTTATCCCTTAGTAACATAATAGACAAAAATATCTCTAATCGTGCATTCTAGGCCACATTGATCGTCCGAAAAGGTAGTTCTCTCAAGTTACGCTTCTACCGTTGTTTATGATGTTTTGGGTATTTTAAAAGGGTTTAACATCAATAACAGAGTTGACTTATTTAGCTGAGTAGTTAAAAGCGGATAGAAAGAATTTTTACGACCATGAAAAGCAGGACATAAAATTTTATTCCTTACGGGAAGATACAGTGTAATAGTCTGTAGATTACACAGTTTTGAAATAATTTATTTTTAGTCTGGTTAGTGAACGTAATTCGATTCGACATTTTTATTGAATGACATTGAAATCTAAACCTTGGTGTATTAAGACAACTGTTTATACAATGTTCTGAGTTAAATATGAAATAGGACATTAATTAGTTAGTACGTTAATTGCGTAATGCTTAAAGCTATACTTTGTCTAATGTAGGACGATATGTTTACAATAGGGATGAGAAGAATTTGTAAATCTTTTCCATGGTTTTTTATTTATTTATTGCAAAAACATTATTTGTGTATTGTATATTTAAAAAAAAACATTTTATAAATTATTGTTATTGGAACCCATGGATTACCATCATATATTAGACAATGTATAGAAAATCACGCGGAGAAAGTCATTGCCTAAGTGTGTACACACGAAAAATGTCTCTCGCAAGTCACTTATTTTCAGTGTAAATATTCCGTTACGTAACCACAATTGGGTGTTGATCTACCGATTAACACTCTCAAGTCGGACGGCACGCTAGAAGTAATTTAAACATTGAATTATTTTCTGTAGGTTATGTCCTACAATGTTTGTAGATGGCCCACTTGCCTTGAACTGGTTTGAAATGGGTTGACCCATTGTTTTCTAATACGACTATGAATAGATACCATTAAACAGATACTCCAGATAAGTAAATAACCTGGCTAAATGCCTTTGCTTTCAGATTATAATAGAAACGATAAAAATGTACCACCATATACTCTTTGAAGAACTACAACTGAAGAATATACTTACCTGTGCGTGCTACTTCGTCCGCGTCCCGTCGTTCTTGCTAGTTAATCTCAAATAAAAGACGTATACTGGAGCAGATTTTTTTTTGTTGCAAAATTAAAACGAGAATTGTTATTTCCAAATATTTTCTTTAACATATTTCGCAACGATTTTGTTTCTTCGGGTTTTATATAAGGTAAAGCCTTCCTCGAGCCCCACCAAAACAAAATTTAATTTAATTTCAAACTACTCGTTCCTGAGATTAGCGCCTTCAAACAAACAAACTCTTTGCCTTTATAATATTAGTACAAATTACTGGAGCTTTCTTATTAATTGTTCTCACATTGCATATAATGTAATGCAATTTATTTAATACACGGGTCATTTGCAATACGTGTAAGACATCCTGACATGGGAATGCGCTGAGCCTAGAATTATCCTTGCTGTAAAATAGCTGGTGAGAAATTCCATACATCCCTTAAGGATATTTATTGAACTGATTAATAAATACTTATTAGAACATGTTCTCAAGCTACACTTACGACATCTGGGTTACATTGCTTTAAAAGCTGTGGTCTTCTATCAATGCTATCAAAGTTTTAGGCCTAATACAAGTAATTAACCTTTACAGGACCATAAGATAGCTGAGACTAAATATGCGAATACAACACAATATTTAAGCTATTTCGAGTGTAAACTAAATAAATATCACTAGAAAAACATACTAGGGTGTACAGGTTTTGTATAATTTCATATATTTTGTTTTGGCATTCATAAAAAATATCGTTTCAATTATAATAATTTTTGTATAAGGGAAAAATATTTTCCTTGAGCGTGAAAGGGTTAAAGCTCCCTGTTGTTGTCTCTTTCACACGCTAATGTTGGTTTGGGTATTAACGCTTTGATAGCTTAGAAATAATCACAGACGAGGTGTCGATTACTTCTAAGCCATTGTTGTGCTATCGAATGTTAGTCATCTAGTGTTGTGAACTTTGTCTTTTGAGAATCACTCGCCGCTAATTATTAGTAGCATAATGCGGCGTTATGTCGCTTCGCTGTACGCACCCTGCCGCGTTTCTAGGAGACGAAAGCCTAACGTCTGAACAGTTAGAAACATTTAAATAACTCTGTCACGCTGTAGTTAATATAAGCCAATAGATAACGGTCCATGCCCTTCATATCGTCTCTTAACTGTGTTCAAGAACACTTCGACACAATTTCATTAATTTCCGATTCATCGTAAATGTCATGGATTTATTTACATAACTGGAATGACGGGGATATAAATACGAGAGCCACCCTTCAAAAGTAGAGTCACTAGTATTGACGTTTTTAAAATTTCTACTCGTCACCATAGTGTCACGCTATAAAGAAACATAATTATATTCTAATATTCTGTAAGTGTTTTCGTATGTCGCTTTGTGTTAGTATTACATGGTTTATCTGACAGTATAGGGAATAGTATCATCATTCAAATGGGAAAAATAGTATATCTAGTTACATAATTTTTATTTTTATATTAAATTCATTTCAATATTTATAATTATTGATTTTTGCATCTGTGTAAATGAGGACCAATGCGTGTTATCGGAACACATTCGTTAATCGACACGTTTTAAAACCATAAACACGTTGAAGTCTGGTCGCGTTATACCACACCATATTTTACAGAAAAGATAGTTAAACAGTAATTTATAAATGATTGTGTGGATTTGTTTGTTTATAGCAATTAAAAAAAAGTTTCATAATGTCCATCTATATTTATTCTAGTTAAAACAATGGAGATTGCAGATAATTATATGAAAAAGTGTTATTCTTCTAGCAATGTTCTTTTAAATTACAAATTTAAATACTGTCTATAGTTTACGCGAGTAGTACACATTTAAATAAAACACTTTAACGGTTTAAAACGCGATATATTAGTTAAACTTATTTGGAAATGATTTTTAACTTCGCTCCGACTTTTCGGATGCTTTGCAGCAGCGTCTCCCCGTTACCACGGCTGCTACGGCTGCACGTTTTAAACCGTTAAAGTGTTTTATTTAAATACAAATTTAAAATTGGTTGGGTACGCATTTCAACTAGACGTTAAAGATTAAGGAATTTTATCTTCAATTGAACTTCAAGTTTTACTATTCATATTTCTTCATGTTTCTCAGTTATAATCAAAATATTAAGGGAATAAATGATAGTTGTATATTCAATGTTATAATCTCTCTCACCACATTTATAGTAGTGTGATATGGCGTAGATGAAGAGTATTCAATGTTATGAAGTTGCGACAGACGTGTAGACGGATCACGAACACCTGTCTTTAAGTTCTCAATCCTGTCTTTTGAATTACATTTGCCATTAATATGTTAATTTTTTGAATGTATTTTATTTCAAATCAAATATGACGTCTATGACATCTATAATCCATAATATTACCTTTCCTTGTCCACTTAAAATTCTAAATACAAGGACTGTTGTTCAGCACAAGAAAAAGGAATATAAAATATTTTTACATCTTCTTTTTTATTTTGTGTTATATAAATGAATAGTAAAGTTAAATTTTCAAATATATTTTATTTAAAATACCTTTGCATTCTGTATGGTCTTCAAAGTAATATAATTTTTAACTTGTTCTGTTAACGAGCTTCTGTAGTAGCATCAGCTCAAATATGGCGATATAATGGTCCCTGGGGTCCCTTTGAGCTGGGCGTGCGTGATCATCGATCGAGACGGCGCGGGTCTGGCTCGAGCGTGACGTCTGCACGGTGACATCCGATAGCCCATCTCACGACCGACCCACTTACCGTCCAAGGTCACCGCTTGACCTCCTAATACCGCTTCCGTCTCCAATCATATGCCAGGATGGAACTATCCAATGCTTTCTTTTATTCAAATCTATCTTCACATTTATGCCTCTTGCTTGTTCTTTTAGTCAGAATCAAAATATCGGATTTAGTCTACCTGTCACTATTGAAAAAGCTGATCTGTCCAAGTTTACATAATATTAAACATAATGATTGTATTATGCACCTACATTTTGTCTCATTTTAAGTTAATATAGTATATACATAAGATTTTACTTTTACCAATATTTATTCTTTAAATGAATAGCGAAGCAAGACGAGTGTCAAATTAACTATGGCGTATTCTTCCGTTAAATAAAAGACACGGCTGCTGTCTTGACAAGTTCCTTTTAATTACATTGCAAAATGAAAATGTTCTACTTTTTCACACTTCGGCTTATGTGTAAGTGCAAATCATCGAGTAAACTACTTGTTCCTCATCCATGCTACTAAATGGTGACTTATTTTAATAGGCCATAACTGTAAAAGATAAATACTCCAAACGCCGGGCCTTTGATGTTCAACTGTTTCGATCAAATAGCGTCGAACGGTCGAACACAGCGACGCTTTTAGCAAGAAACGGAATTTCTTGTAAGGCCTCGTCTATGCGGTTCGGCGTGCTTTATTCACGTAGTTCAACGGTACTGTTGTGTCATGGTCGTGGACAGATTTACAGATAGGGCGCCAATCAGAGCGTGTGCGCACCGTATCATGAGCCTTTCCGATACACAACACAACACACTTTCTAATCTACGGCTTTGTCACTGCGCCTATTGGCTGACTTGTTCTACCAGACTTTCGCCAATTGTTTTCACGCCACATTAGATTTCTTCTCGGTTTTAAAGTAAACAAAAATAATCCGCTCGTTGCATCACAGCATTGTAAATCTGCTGCATTACAATCTCATTGTTCGCGAACGCTATCCTCGGTAACGCGGCATCCATATTTAATTTGAGCCGTGGTCAGTCGGAGCGCGCAGATATCGTGTTGCCTCCGCAATCGGCTCCCAACGTTGAATTCGATACGAGTTATCTGGAGTCCAAGTGGCCTGTGAAATAGGAGAGCGGACAGTCAGGCTTAGCCGCAACGGCCGTGTAGATAAGGTGATGCGCGCATTTAGAAGCGCGGGGAGACAGCGGGTTGCGACCGGTCCTCGTACCGGTTTACCACTCGTCGTCGGATGGGTTGAAACTAACCGTTTTATTAGCTTAGCTATGCTCCACAAACGATCTCCATCAAGCGTAGCTAAACAGCCCTCGGGCGCTGCCCACGAGTACGCCCGCGAAGGTGTCATAAATATTTTGTATCCGAACGATTTATGTTGCTTTATTTTTTAAACAGTAAAAGCTACTTTTGTTCAACATTTTATTATATTAAGTAAATAGTCCTAGGATTTTCACGTAGGGCACATTAGTTAGTTGTACTACTTCCATCAGATAAAAAGTGATTCGTAAAGCCCACATAGAATATACAGTCTAAATATCGTTAAATTATCATGTTTTATAGAATTACTAAATATGCGTACAAGCAATTGAATTAAACAGAATCTAAACGGCGAATCGAAAAGGTAGATGTGCAAATCGACGCAATCAGCAAAGTATGTTTACATATGTTAATGCTATATCATCAAAAACGAATTATTTCAACAATAACTAACTGGGGCAATGTAGGCGAGTGTGTAATGAAACGTGTGTTTGGTCACTTTTGTTTAGTTTTGCAATATGATATTACCGAGCTTAAAGATGAATATAATTTGTCCCGGAGGATTTTGATTAATAAATTAGACTGGTGCGTTGGTCCAGTGGTAACAACATATAGCTATCTTAGAGTCTTTCCTGGTCCTATTTTTTGTTAAAACATATTTATTTCGCCTAGACAGTCGTAACAATAAGACGATATTCAAATCTCAATCCGCCGACTGCACGTGTACACGTCCTGATATATAAAGGGCGGCTTCAGTCTGTTAACGCGTCTTGTTGAATTATTATATATCTGGGTTAATACACCATCCTCAAAGTAAACCCCCAAGCTCTCAAAAAATAATTAGCTTCATCGCGTGATGAAAGCATCCAGTTTGTTGGCAATCGTCGCAGCGGTGACTACGACGATGAAGTTATTTCTATTTTCACTATCAGTGATTGGCCTTGTGGTTCTATTTTTACTGTGAATGAGAAACGAAGTGCCCCTTCGATGTTTCGAGTGCAAGAAACAGCGGCACACTTTCGACGGATTCAATCAGCTTCATCACTTAATTATAAAAAACCTTGGTAACCAGGTTAACTTTCGGTGTGTTATAAAAAAAACGTGTGAAAAACAACATCTACAATCTTTCGGAATAACTTTCATTTTTCAATAGATAACTAAACATTCGGCGTTACAAAGCGCTTCCGGATTGCGTACCTTTCGTCACGGTTATACACATTGTGTGAAGTGATATGTCAAACAAGCCATTTCAAATGTGCCCACAATAAACAGTTCAATGAAGTTACCGTCATGCGGTACGGTCAACGATCCAAACGACGTGAACAAATTCGAGGTTAAAGCTCTCGATGTCCAAAGCAACCATCGATCCTGTTCTTTTCTTGTAGGCTTCCACTACGGGCTAAAGCCAACATCGCGAGATGGCTCGCAGTGAAGCTATTATGAATTGCGATTGGCCTTCTAAATAGCGGCTAGCACGATGTTTGAATCTCTCGTATCAAGACTGACGTCCCCGCCAGTATCGCGGCGGCGTCACACGGTACACGCGACGCGCGAAGTATGTAGCGAGCCCGAGGAAGAAGCTGCACCGGTCCAGCGTAGATCTAGGACTGCGAAACAGCTCCTCGACAAGCGGAGGAAGGCCCGACTATCTTGCGCTGATCTGACGGCTGCCACGAACGCAGAACCGGAGCGGACATCTCGCATGGACGCGTTAAAAGCATTCTTGCCATTGCGACAATCCAAGTCATTAGGCAGGCTAGACGGTCTCAAAGAGGTGAGTCGATCATTTCATTTCATTTATTAGCAGCTCCTTTAGAGGTTGTTTAGCGTGGAATTGACCTTAAACTTCTTTTATAATCGACCTCGCTGATGTATTTGTTGACTTTGTGACAAAGTGATGAATGAGAGCTCGTTACCAACGGAAAGTGATAAAACGATAAGAAAATTAGCCTATTTATAAACTATTTCGTATTATGTATCATCTTTGAATGGGCGTCTCGCTATTACATAAATTACATCATCTCCTACATATTTATTGAATAAGAATTCACTTGCCTCAAAGTGACTGGCTATTTAGGGTCAGTTGACCTCTGTAGAACGTCCATCACGTTGCGAAAGACAACCTGTAGAGGGCGTTCCATTCAGGTATGACAACACATCGTAAAGATACGGGTATTACTTACAAGGGTCCAACATTTGACTGCATGACTAGCACAATTTGTCTTTCATGAGTAAATGGTACAGGCTCTATGAGGAAATGCAGGTTTATTATTTCCACGGAGTTCATTCACTTGCGCAGAGTAATAAAATGAGTTTAATATAGTTTTTATTGGATATCTTGTCTTATACGTTATTAAATGAATGAAAATTTTCCTAGCACGCACGTTTCATTGTTTATTCAAATTAACTGCTTCCGTCTAAAACTTCAAAAAATTATGTCTTACGTTTTGTTTTTATGTTTTAATTGACTTTTAAATAGACAGTTAGGTACTATTTTATGAAATTATTCTTCGACAGTTTACTACTACTTAGCTTGCATTGAAGTCAGTCTAGGCAAAAAACGCGTACAGTATTGGAGAGATCAAACAAAAAAATCTCAAGATATTTTCCTAAATTTATACTCAGTTGCCAATATTATTACAGCAACCCGATTCATTTTCCTTTATTAACCTAGTATCGTTATTACAATCGGGAGTTATTTTTGTAAAGTCTAATACGAATAAGTGCGTACGTCAATACGAAAAGTGGAAGCAATAATTCTTGCCTTTATCTGCGCGAGCACGTTCTTCGAGTTATACCAAGAAACGTAAGATCTTAATGGAATATGTGTTGTGCTCATAATCTGTTATGTTCTTGGTTCTTTCATAGAACTTCATATATGGTGAAGAAAAATATCACGTCTTAAAATTATTTTTTTATATCCATATTCGATTTGTGGTTATTCATTTATATTTAAATAGAAAATGTTGTATATGAATTTACAGTTATATTTTGTAATCTTTCATTCCAGTTTTAAGATCATGTTTGACCTTCATCTCACCACATACCAAGAATACTAGGTTACAAACTTTTGAAGTCAATAAGTTTTGTAATGACGACGTTTATTGGGTAAACAGCTTTGTAATGTAACGCCGGTCTCTATGGCGTCTCAATACTAAATAGGTAAAATAAGTTCCCTAAAACGCACAGATATGTTTTTATTACTTATTTCACATTAGGCGAATCGATTCTTATCAGTTACCTACTTTACACCATCGGTTGTCATTATATAAATATTGTTTTAACGGTTGTAAATGCCAAATATATTAGATAATAGAACACGTACAAGCCCTCTTATTTATTTCGTGTTTTGCTTGTAAAACGGTTTTAAAGCAATTAAAGAATCTGGTCAAAGTTAAAAACATATCGCGTTTTAAATATTTCATCTAAAAGTAAAAGGCGATAGACGCAATTCACTGTGCGTATAAATCAATTGCTCTAACATTTAAAAGTTCGTCTCGATTGCGTTATTCAAATATTGAAGGTTATTAAACAAGTTTTCAGCATTCGTAATTACATTGTCAATCAGTGCCGTGTAATCGAAGTTTGATTCTTTGCCTGACAGCCTGAGAAGCTGAACCGTTACTGGTTACGACACACGCGAACCTCTGATATTCCGCAGATAGTGCAAGAATGCGATAGGCAGGTAGGGGCAGGTACGATCAGCCTTGACTACGCACACACACAAACCGTGTCACAACACATTTTTGAGAGTGTGCTATTTGCGCATGTGATTTACAGACAAATGCCACGTCGCCCGCGCATCTGTTTGCTTCTTTGAGAGAGCATCCCGCGTTAACGCCTTTTGTGTCTCTCCGGACATCTGCGCTTAAAAAAGCTCTTAATATAACCTGCCCGGATCAACGAGCTTATTGCCGCAGTGGATTAGCGTCTTCCATTTGCTTTGTCTATTTTAATGGCTTTCATAAAAGGATTCTATGAATACTTATTTTTGTTAAAGCTCGCTTTGAGTTACTCATAAACGCCATTATCTGATCCGGAAAACGTTGTTGTTGGCAAGTTTTATATTACTACTATACTACTCTAATAAATAATTGATTGACCAAATTTGATTACCATAAAAAGGGGTTCTCGTGAGTTAATTTTAAAAGATAGACGTATACTTTACCGCGCATTTTTTTAGATCATCTAAAGAGGAATACTTCTTACATCTACATTTTTAGGTTTCTAGAACAGTTTTGTAGCGTCTGCAGCGTTTACCGATTTTTCCACATTCTCTACTATTTCTTCAGTTCTATTGGTCGCAGCGTGATAAGATATACAACTTTCTTCTATTCAAACTACTTCAACAAACTCGAGCTCTAATAGTATAAATAAATTCACGAAAGACCCGCGAACATATATACATAACTTTCAACATAGCAAAGGCTGCTATCAAACACAGCTTCCATTAGGTGATTATCTAATCTCCAAATGGCTATTACCTATGGTATGCTTCTTAGAATTATTTTGTCAGTGTTTTTGCAGGCGAAATAGCTGACTATCGATTTGTATAAGCCTGAGTCAGAACTAACGGAACACGAAGTGAATCGTCACAGCGTAGATCAATTAGGAGATAGTTGAATGCTTAGATGTACTTTGACGTCAGACATATGAATAGCCAAGTCTAATCACCGATAAATTGATAACGATAATTACTAGATGACCGAAGCATAGATTATAGGGCGTACCGAAGGATCTCACCCCTATAATGTTTTAGTAAAATTGGACACGGAAATCTTTGAAAATGTCTCCGGTATTTAAAACAATACATAACTTTGTATTATTGGTTATAGTTTTATTTAAATGATTGTAACTGTAATAACATGAATTGTAATACGTAAAACAATTTACAATAAGTAAATATTAATTTATAGATATAAAAATGAATTCTCGTTTCACCTTATGGGGTATGAAACAAGCACCTTGCTGTCTTCCATTGATCCTGGACTTCTGTGCCCTGCCTGAGAAAATTCGAGGTGGTCAATTTTAGATACATCGTTTTTTTTAAGAGTGCGTCTGCCTACTGCTTAGTTATCAAAATAGGTCCCATTATTAAATTTTTAACAAAATTTACAAACCTATCCAAATTCGAAACTGTTTTGTTTGAAAGCCGCGTTTTAATATTGACTGTACCGAATGTAAATAAAGCTGTATTTATTTTGATGATTCACGAATTCTCTGACCTCTGCAATACGTCTTGATCACGATCTTTTAGCAAATAATAAACAATAGTTTATTTTAATTTCCATACAATCATTGCATCTCATCTGAACAAACGTGATCGATCACAGTAAAGGATCTATTCATGAGACCTTCAAAAGATCTTGGTGTAAAATTATCATGGGCTTTAATATATTGCGTTGCACTTATGATGTATTGTGTGATGGTATCTGAAATTGGCTTTAAGAATTAATGTGAACACTTATGGCTAATTATAAAAAGCTTGCATATAACGCCTTTAAAAATATTATTGTGCTTATAAAATTAGAATTTATTGGTTACGAATATTTCTTCCCGTCCCACTTAAAAATAATCAATAAATGACAGCTTCCGCGAAACAATACAACGTATTCAGAAGTTTTGAATCGCGCATTTATCACACCGTTGTCTAAGTATGAAATATAATCAAACAATTTACAAATGACTTCTGATTGATGTGAGATTGAATTGTGTAGGTTAGTCTGTCAGGTCGCGGTCCGAAACTTGTTCCGATATCATGTCAATAATTAATTTCAAAGACCGACGTCCTACTTACGTTAACCTTACAGTGCCCTATTGTGTTAAGTTATTTATTTTTCACTTTGATATTTGGCAATGAGTTTCTATAAGATTTAATCTTTGCTTGGCATAAATATAAAGGCAAAATGTATATACATCCGTATAGATAATAATTCATTCGTTCGCTTCAACTAAAAAAAGGATCCTAAAAAACTACATTTGACTATTGTTTCCTTTTTTAATAATGGATTAAAAAGAAGACAACTGATTAAAGTAGACAGATAAACAGTCCCTACAACTTTTTATATATTTTGCTATGAGCCTGTGTCTGATTTCCAAGAATAAGCACCTTAGTCAAAATGAATCTCATTTAAAACTATGCAACGTTTCTGTAAATAATATCCAAAATTATATACATACATATCATCATACATTTTTATATATTAAGTTTGATGGACACAAATAAAATCAAATAGCTTGTCAATAAAATAGATTCAATGAAACAGACACAGTAATATGTCTGTCCAATGTCCCAAGTTACATATGAACTTTTTAAAATTATTTTTCATGCGGCATTTTAAAAATGGCAACGTCTTCTTAAATATTTGTTCGGGATCAATTACAAACAGACTCGACAAACAATATTTTTGAAGGTATAAATGTCACGTACCTTAAGAATGTACACAGTGTTTGCAATACAGCTTCAGATACGACACCGAAACGGATATGTAAAAATAATTAAAAAAAACAACGGATATGGTGATTAAAGATAAAAGTGTTTGCATACCAAAATTAGCGGTCTTAAAATTTATTTTAAATTCGATACCTTGGTCGAACTGAAAGAAATCATTCTCTTAATTTACAGAAATTTAATATTATTTTTATTTACACTGCGAGTTGCGTCCCAACCTCTGGGATGCTTTACAAAACAAATATTTTACAATTTAAGTCATGAAATGAATTTATACAATAAAATCAGGATAGTATAGAAATTGTTTTGAGATTTCAAATATTAATTAAACAAATAAAATATTGACTACGCGAAATGTAAAATACACAAATAATTTTGAATATTTCTTTTAATCGAAATGTATTAATCGTAGTCATATATAATAAACAATTCGGAATACATTTTTGGCATACAGAGACATAAATATGTTTTTTGTTAAATAATTCAATACCATACCTGAACGATTTAACATAATTGATCATTTCTGGCATTCATCTAAGGTACAGTAATTTGCAGTTTTCGTTTCAGCCTCTGGTACTTGAAAAGCGCAAAGGTCAATAAACTCATTTTCTTAAGTACTGCATTACACTAATTTTGATTGAACGACTGTACGATGTATGGATCTTAGAGTTATTATTTTAGAATGCAAATAAAACACTTTTAACGGTTTAAACTTATTTAAAAATATTTACTACGGCCCAACGTTTCACCAGCCGTGGTCACGGGACGACTATAAAGATGGTGGGTGTCGCTAGGTTCAAAGTAAAAAACTGCTACGCTAGCGCCATCTGTTCCGTCGTAGGTGGTATTAGACGAAACTGGACGGTTCGTTGCAGAACTGACTAACTGTTGAAAAATTAATTTAATTAATTTGTAAATACGTTCAACTAATACATTTCGCGTTTTAAACCGTCACGAGTATGTTATTTAAATTTGTACTACCTTCTAAATTACAGACGGTACTTGAAGATTTAGAATTTACCTCTTTAAAAAACTCATCAAAAATATATTAGGTATATACTTGTAGTTTCACTTAACTTTTAAATAATTAAATATTCCCAAACAATAATTATACGTATGAAATAGTCGTTTATTATTGTAATAATCGTTATTGTCTCTCGTAAAATTATTAATCGAATTTAGCGGTTTTTTCGTTGCGAGGCCCAATGTTTACAGATCGAATTGGAAAGTTATCTCGCTGCAACCAGTAAACTGACCTTTAATTGAAAGTATTGCTTTTTAATTATGAGTTTTCTCTTAAAATTGTGTAATAGAGAAGTCAATGTAATTATAATTTGGGGGGGGGGGGAGTAGTACATTATTTTGCGTTAGCGTTGTTTTCACACAAACATGCAATATTTTTGTTACTTTAAAATAAGTCGCATTTTTGTTACATATATCAATATTCCGGACTATACATATTCAGAACTTCCAAAAGGGGGTTCTGAAAAAAGATAATTATAATATAATATAACAAAAAAAAATATTTTCAAGAAGGAGAAAAATAAACATGCGCAATTAACTTAGGCGAAAGTGAATTTGTGTAAGAATTATGTTAACTATTTCCGATTACTGTGCTCTTGTAGATTAACATTTTTAGATTATGAAAATATAAATAACTTAGTTTTATAAATTGCAGTTAGGTTACTCTGCCCCTGCGGCCTCATTATGTGTTAAGTCAACTTTTCACTCTAGTTTCGCACATGAGTATGACAATGTGCGACGTATATTAGCATGAATATGTCGGTAAATTAAGAATTGCCCCCCAGCTCCAGACCATATCTACACAATCAATAAATAATTGGTGAGAGAATGGATGACGCAATAGCGATGCAAGCTGAACTGGAATATCATTCACATAACTGATGACAAGTGCAATCAAACTACCATTTATCTTCTACTATCAATACTCTGTGGTTGTTCTTTCAGATCTGAGGTGTAATTTATTAACTTTTGATAAAAATAATGTTATCTTTTTAAGATTGATTTCATCTTTTTCAGTTGTTTGATTATTATCTCTTGATCTAGCTTCGATTCTATTCGTTAGGATTTTAGTACTGTGTAAGCATATAAAATCAGCGATTATATATTAAGAAAGAGTAAGTAAAAGCAAGTACTGTATCTCTTATGATAATTAAGCCAGAAAAATGTGCACTGTCTGTTTTAACGTTTTAAAACGAGAACGTTTCACGACGTTTCGGATCCTTTGTAGCAATATGACTGAATATAGTATTTTATTTAAACAAAAAAAAATCCTCACACAGAGTAAATCAAAAATAGATGTCAACTACAAAAACTTAAGTTTAGTTTTATTCAAATAAACACTATAAAATAATAATTATCGTTAGACAATAGCCTATTTTGATAAAGATGAATCTTTAATTGCCTTAAATGAACGCTTTTGGCTTCCAAAACTATTATGTTTGTTAGGTTGCGTTAATGAAATATAAAGATACATAAAAGTAATATCGTGTGGGCGCTCCGCGGCAAG